TTTTGGGAAACTGTGAGAGCTCTGTTTCGTTTATTCGTGTCTACTAAAAATGTATTTTCTAGTCTATGCGCATGTTCTGCTGGTGTACGAGTGCTTGCTGATGTCCGTTTTTCTAATGTTGTCGATGAGGCCAAAGGACATCAAAACTTTTCAGCCATTTCTTATGAAGAAACGTTCTGATATGATGGAACAGAATTGCACCAGCGACGTCAGCTGCATTGCAGTTTCGATCACGGATCCGAGAGACTCTTATTTTTGAAGAATGAAGAAGAATCTCTAAAGTTCGGTTCTAATTTTCCCTGCAGGCTTTAACCGAAATGGTTCTACATGAATGACTGAGCGAAGAAACGAAGCAGTGTGAATGAATGATGCAGTATATAAATATGTGAATGAGTAAAGAAAGAAATGGATGAATAAGTGAACAAATGAATGAAATTAATGAATGGAAGTCTAAATCTTCATCTGCGTTACACCTAGTGCTGCGGATTATTACAATGGGTAGGCGTCTCTCAGGCGGGTCAAGGCGAATTGCAGCCACAACAGTCTCTCGCCCTGGACAACATGGCTTTACATGACTTTAGCATGTGGTCCATTCAGGTATGACCAGACTATAGTACCATACAGCTGGTTGTGCCGAATCAGAGTGAGATTAATTCTTTGCTGAAGGGAGTTCACAGTTAGGACAAATATGGTTTCTTCAGGGGATTCTAATCCGTTAGCTCCACGGTTTACAGCCGACCTGTTTGTCACTATGCCACCACGTTTCAAACGAACGAATGGAAGTATGAATTAACAACGGCAGTTCCATTTCGTTTGCGTTCTCTATTCATGATGTTAACTATCAAAAATTTTAAATTGTTGCTGTGTCGCAAATTAAGTGTTTCGTTCGATGATTTCGTGTGTTCGCTCTGCATTCTAGCTGTTTTTGATTGTTTTATTCAGAAATGCCACTTTTGAGTTCGGTTCCTCGATTTCCATTGCCATGCATCGTGCCTTGACGGCAGCCCGTGTTGTTTGCTTCAAGCTTCGGCTGTCGAACTAAAAACTCTTCTTGTCCACGTGCACTGTACGATAAGCAGGATCACACAGCGATGGAGTTTTTCAACGGTTTTCTCTTCTCTTTCGTTCTGCGATGTCTTCTATTAAACAATAAGAAATCGAGGAGGACGGTGGCTTTCGGTTCCATGATCCAAACAGCTAATGACGCGAGAAACAGACGTTCGGCAGTCAACGCGAGGTGGTGTCGGACTTAGAGAAGGAAGAAACAAGTTTTGTCCAGTACATCACCAGTGGCCTTACGTTGAACAGGAGCTTCCGGCGCTATCGTCGGCTGGCATGGCACCCTACTGACGAAAAGACTGAAGATGACTCCCCGCAAATCGAAAGGCATGATGACGGTTTGAACGATGGCACTCAGTATGGCGAGGTTTGCATTGTTTCAGAGGTTTCGCAGTCAGGCGCTTGAACATGTTCAGCCCGTAAAGGAGGAGTGAGGTTGAAAAGACGTCCCCCGTTCCTAGCAACGTTTGAAACTTGTTCATCTGTGTCGTTTGTACAGATGCAATCTGACTGATGTAGTTCAGCATGACTCGTGCAGGAAATCTACTCAAGTTTGTCCATTCGTTTCATCGTGAATATACAAAATACGATGGACATGACGAAAGCGTTCTGCTGGATAAGAAGACGAAGAATCTACAGGTTTCTGTTAAGGATGTACTGCCGATATGGAGCATGAGCCCTCTCTGGGCGGGTAAGACCGTGGTTGTGCGTCACTAGCCAATGGTATCTGTTCATGCACAAAATCAAACGTTTTCATTTCTCTGAATCTGTGGGTCGGGTAAAGGTTGCAGATATACCAGCAGTAATTCATGAGGTTAAGCACTCAGAATGGACTGCCGAACAACCAGTCGCCGGAAAACTACTCAAGGAAATTGATGAAACGCCGACTTGAATTCAAGGCCCTCCCACAGTGAGGATAAATATATATGACATGTTTATCAGTTCGCAAAGATCAAAGATTGCAGAACACACCATATTGGAACAGGCCATCTTATCACAGTGCCTCAGTATCGATAAAGTAGGATGTCCAATGGATAGACCGTTCAAAACGGCAATAACCGTCAAACTCAGTGGCAGTATAAGCTATGATAAAGGACATCGGACCTTTTCAAAATTGAATACTTCCCTTCGC